GCGTATACTTATTTGCCCCTGTAACACAAACCTTATATGGAGTTGATCGTCGCTACTTAATCTGATTGGCTGGTTATTTAATACCATTTAATTATATATAAAATAACAGTTTTGAAAAAACCGACAGTTATCTTCAAAGATTTAAAATTTTTATTAGATTTTGGCACCAGATTGGAAATAATGTGCAAACCTAGAATTATAAAGCAAAAGTATTCTTTTTCTAATTAATTTTAATTGGAGAATATACATTGATGTTCGTAATTTAATACATTAGAGAATTAATTAAATTTAAGACGAAGTAGATTCAATGTACTGTATATTTAAACGTATATAAATGGTTATATAATGGAATTTGAGCCAACAAATGGGGGGCTCCACAGCAAAAGGTGGTGATGGGCCAAAAAAATTTTTTCTGTAGTTTTTTAATATTGTATTCTAAATGATCTAATTTTTGTAAAAATAAAGTTTTGCAAAAAAATTTTTTTTTGGCCCATCACCACCTTTTGCTGTGGAGCCCCCCAAATATAATTATTTAACAACAAACGGCATAATAATATAACCTTTGAATGCATATTATGTTATATTGTTGTTAGTTCTGAAAAGCGAAGCTTATTTTTAACGAATAAAAATTTAAATTAATGGGCACAAGAATATTATTATTTCAGGTCTAAATCCATTAGAATTGAATCCAATAATGTAAAATGTTAAATAAATATTTTATTAAATTCGATAATGTTTGCGATCACAGACTCATGACCTTAAGAATGTGACTTGAAAAAGTATAATAAATATACTACCATATAAAGTTAACTAGATGTTTCTCATAACCCAACCAGAACAACTTTGTAAATTACAGTACAAAATTTTATAAATTCAATCTATATACTCCCAGGGGGGGGGCGTTTGAAAAAATTCAAAGCTGGGCCTTTAAAATTCGCACGTTATGAGAAACAATTATTTGACTTTGTATGGCCTAATAATAAATAAATTCCCGTTAAGCATTTGAGCAAAAATAATATTTCTCATTTAACCTAGATGCATCTTAACTAAATTAGATTAGTAAAGTGTAATGGCTAATGCAAAAACTTGGATGAAGTGAAACTGACCAATTAATTAACTGATCGACTCCGAGTTAACCAATTTTTGCGCATCGGTTTCAAATTTGATAAAATCTTATTAGCCGCCACATCAAAAATTAAGAAATAAGATGCATTTAAATAAAGGAGAAACATCGTATGATAAGCTCAGAATATTGTGGGTAATATTGTTAGTAGTTGTCTTAATCAAAAATAGAAATTGACAATAAAAAAACTCACAAATGCCATATCAAAAACTTACTATACGTTACTTTCATCTGAAAGAATAAAACAATTTAATATTAATGTATGAATTCGTAAATGCAAAATAAAAAATGTATTGTTATCGTTTGAAACCTTATGTGATATAAAATCTAAACTAGATGCTAGTTTTTTTTTTTTATCAAGTATATAAAAATCACAATTATCCAATAAAAATAACTTTGAACATAAAACTCAAAAGTAATCCCTTAAAGTATACTTACAAGAATGGATATACCAACCACTCAAATTTCTGAATATAACGTCGAAGATTGTATAAACGACCATGAAGCAAATTTAGATGGATTACTTGATCATTTCGACCAATTTGTAGAACGACTTCACAATCCTATTATAAATACTAATTATCTTCCTATTGGTGCTATTTTAATTGAGCGTAATGAAAATTCTTCTAGTAAAACGACAAAGGGTGTTGAATATATTGTTCCTACAAATACAGATTTTCATGAATGGGTAAATCAGTTTGGTAAAGCAACTGGTGCAACTTATGTTAAACATGATACAGAACAAAATATTGGAAATGTTATTTTGAGAGCTACTTATAGATGCCATCGCTCAGGAAATTATAAAACTAAAGCAGGCCAAAATCATCCAGAAAAAAAGCCAAGACCAAACCAAAAAGAAAGTAAAAAATGTGATTGCAAATCACAAATAATTGTTACTATTAAACATACATTTAATGAACCAAAAATGTTTATAAAATACATTCCACATACCAATCATACTCCGGGTTCTGATAGTGATATTGGCACTTTAAGGCTCTCGAAGGAAGTCCGTGAGTGGATTGCAGAACGAATTCGGGATGGGTTAAATGTCAAAGGTATAACCCAGCTCTTTAAGAAAAGATCTCGTGACATAACAGAGATATGGAAAAAACGAAATCCAAATAATGCAATCCAAATTCGTGATAACCTTGTAACACGTGATGATATATATAACGTATGGAAAGAAGTAATTTTAGAGAGTCAAATGAAGCATAAATCTGAAGAACAGAGCATGGAATTATGGAGAATTGAACTACAGCAAAAGGGCGATCTTACTTGTGCAGTTCCGTTATCAGAAGAAAATCATGAGTATAGCATAGGCAAGCTTTTTGGTTTTACAGTTCCTACAGGAAAAAAAATTCTTCACGATGCTTTAATCATTCTACTTGATGCAACACATGGGACTAATAAACATAAAGACCTGTTATATACGCTGCTTTCACCTGATCCTAAAACTGGAAAAGGCATTACTCTCGCTCATCTCTTGTCTTCGCGTAAGAATTTTGAATCAGTTCAATATTGGCTTAATAAGCTTCGGGTTCAAATTTCGGATTGGCAGGGTCCAGTTGCATTTATGGTAGATTGTGATCCTGCCCAGATAAAAGCTATTCGTACTGTATTCCCAGAAAGTAAAATATTACTTTGCTGGTGGCACGTCACAAGAGCGTGGAGAGATAATATTAAAAAAATTCATAAAGAAATAACTGATTCTACGGGGAATAAGCTTAACCCTAATGAAAAAAGAGCATTAGAAAATGAGTTATTTGCTGACTTAAGATATTTAATGCATATCGATAACATAAATGTTGCTGAAGAAGCTTTGGTTTTATTTTTAGACAAATGGAAAAAAGCAATAACATTTATTACCTATTTTAAATACCAATGGTTAAATGAACCGGATAATAAAGGTAATTTTTATAACATAGATAAAACAATGTGGATGAAGGCATACCGGACTGATATTCCAACTGCCAAAATTGATACTACAAATATGCTCGAGTCGTGGCATAAACGTTTGAAGTATGACAATTTTGAAGGTAAGCACAATCGGCGTAACGATATCTTAATATATGAGTTATATGTAATAATGGATGGAGACATACAGTATCAACAACGTCTGGCTGATATTCGAGCTGGACGGATGATGCCAGTGGAGAGAGAAATTCGTCAAAGGAAGGTAAAAGCACAAACATTAATAGATACAGTTCTAGAAGTCAATAGAGGAGAACATTACTGGACAGTTGCATCGGAAACAAAACAGGGTATAAGATACTTTGTAGAAAAAACATCAGATCATAAACAATTAGAACGACAGTTCTCCTGCACTTGTGTAGATTTTAAAATGCGAAAGCTTCCTTGTAAACATATATATGCCGTGGTTTTTCGCTGTTTTCCTCTGCTTCTTGAGAATGTTAAACCCTCTCACCATCAATCACAAGAACGTCAACAACATCAACAATATTCTGTCGAGGAGCTTCGTTACAACATTCAAAAAATGACACAAGATCTTGAAGACCTTGATCTTAATCGCTTGCAAATTGTTCATGATCAGATCTCATGGATTCTTGAAGATGTTCGCAAACCAGACAGATCATTTCAACCAGGAAATTGGGTAGACGAAAATCAAAAAATGAAATTACCGCCACATATGCATATTGAAAAGCAAAAAAGGTAATTTTCGTATATTCTAAGTTATATCAAGTAAGTTTTTAGATTAGTTATATTGAATCAATAAAATATACATATAATTCGTATCTATTCGACGCATACTAAAAAAAGGTTAAAATAATATGTGATAAATCGTCAAAATGCGCCTTTCTTAATTATAATAATAGTATTCTTCAATGTATAACTTCTTCCTTAATTAAAGTAGTAAAGTCTTTCAGTGCGATTAAAACATTAAAATATTAAAAAAAAAAAAAGTGTAGATTCGTATCTTTTTTATATTCAGTTTCTTAGCCCGTTTAAATGAATAAAATTTTAATATAACATAATAGTGAGTGCACTGATCTTGAACGTTAATCAAAGCTTCTATTTCAAAGCGTAAGTTTCAAGCACAAAAAATATTAAGATGCGATCCAATTAATTGATAAAGTGTCGATCAACTCCATATAAGGTTTGTGTTACAGGG